TAACCAGCCATGACCACTTCCCACGCTTGATTCAAACATGAACAAATGAACAACAAGCCGAAGGAGTGTCCGCGCGTTCCATGGTCGAAGCTCCGCTTGTTTGGCCGGTCGGGCTATGGCTCCCTGAATGGGAATCAATATGGTTCGTTTGGATCCTTACCAGCTGGATGACCACCCCAACGTTAACCCCAAGCAAAGGGGGTTTTGACCATGGAACACATGAAACCCTGTAAGCTGCTCAAAGCCACCCCAAACCCAGGATTTTCATCCCATAGCTGTATGATAGCAGTGCCCTCCGCATTCTGTCCGCGAATCCTTCTCAGAAACGAGAGAAACACCCTGAACATGGACGGATGGTTGAACAGAACTGGTAATCCACCTGAATGGCTTCCTGTGGAACCGCCAAAGTCCAAACCTGATGTTCACCACACGGCCACTTCCCCAAAAGTGAAGTCCAGGAACTCGAGTGAGATCCATTTGCATCCCAGAAGCTTGGAAGAAGAAGCTGAAGTCAGACCAGGGCACCTGCACGAGTCCCCCTTAAAAAAAAAAAAACAGAAACAAAAAGTCCTAGATGCTAGGGGGTCTGGCTAAAACATACTTGTTGGTGCGATAGGCAGGGAATAAGGAAATAAACCTGGGGATTCTCTTAAAAATGGTTTATAAGGGTTATTCCCTCATTCCCTGATGAGCACCGGCAAGTCTTTATGTGAGTGGGTTGAACACACAAGCATCGTTCTTCCAGGGTTGTCCCCGTTTTCCAGTCTCATGAAGGTTCATTTGTTGCTCCCCTGCAAAATTGACATGCACATGGAAACCAACAATGTATCAAGGGGACCCCCAAAAGGAGATTCCTCACACGATGAATTGATGCCATGTCAAGCTCCAGGTATCCATCCCCTATTTGCTTCCTGTTTGGGACAATCAACTGCGCTTGGCTTAAAAGTGAGTCTCCGATGTCATAACCGCCGAACTGACCATAGACTACTGGCATATGACGGAACCTCATGTCAGCAACCGTCCCTATTACGGCGTCAACAGTCGCAAAGGGGATGGTACGCAAACCTAAACTACTTGCTGGTTCTCAGTGAATGAGGGACTGACCCCTACAAACCACACCTTGTAAGTTCCTTCAAGGGATCCCAAACGGCTCCTGAGAACCAGCAGGATCACTCTGAGGGGAAATGCAGGCCTCTACTTGGGGGTACGCTCCCTTCCGTACTCCTCCCAAATCATACTAGCACTTGACGAACCATTTTAAAGAAGGCCCCGGATACATAAAATGTCCAACTCAGACGTTGCGCCCCCGCTCCCACTAAATGACATGATCTCCAAAGAGTCCCACGCAAAAAACCGACATATACCGAGTGCTTAAATTGGCAACCAATGTTATGAATATCCTGAACTGCCAGGCAAGAGGCACTGACCCAGAATCTGGGTGGGACTTCCCGCTTAACAGCTGAACACTTTTTGCTGGTACCTTCCTGTCCACTAACGTGGAACCCACCAGAGGGTCCAACTTAAAGGACAATTGCCTTCCAGGAATCCCTCAGTCAGGAGGGTAAGGGATCTTTCGATTCGGTCCGCCAACAAACATGCAAAATGTTCTTCTCGGTAGGTTGAGTCTGAAACAAGGTTGTGGGATCAACCCACTTCTGTGATACAAGGGAATCTCCCCCTTCTATGGGGAGCTAGTCTTTGGGAAGCCCTTTTTGTGGTACAGAATCTCAGAAGTCGATTCCATTTCCCGCAACCCTGTCTGCAAACCCCACGCTCGTCTTCGCGGATGCCTGGTCCGGGAAGGGCAGCAGTGGCCAGGCGAACGTCGAGGAGGCGAAGGCGGGCAAGCAGCCCCGGGTCAAGGCCTCCGCATGAGGAGCGAGTGTCTCATGGAGGAAACCCCAAGCGGTTTCCTTTTGGATTTCCCTTGAAACCAACCCAGGAAAGGTGCCGAGCAAAAAACAAAAAAACACAGCACCTCTTACCCTTCCAAATGAAGGGAAGGAACCCAACATGCCCACATTTGTAGAACCTCGTTTTGTGAAAAGGACCCGTTTCTGGGGTGTGGGGGAGCAAGGGAAGCCTGGAGGAATCTCCAAATGCGATTTGCTGTGTTGTCTGTGTGCAGGTTCCCTCTCGACTCCTCCCGGTGTACCGGAAATAGGTGGTGGAACACCCCCTTTTGTGTAGCTGGAAGGCTGACCAGCGGAATAGTCCAACTGCCCCCTCCAAAAGGTGAACATCTCACTTTTTGAGTGGACCGGCCAAACACAGCTTCCCGCATTTTTTTTCAAGTCCGTGCCGCACGGGGCAGGTTGCGAGGCACAGTCGGCGAAGTTGGACGCGCAGGTAGGACAGGAGACATTACCCAAAAGGTGAGGTTGGTTCAACCCCCTATGGACAGCCCGGCACGAAAAACATGTTGAGAACACAGGTACTCAGTTGCTCAAATGACCCAGAAATAGAAGGTTTACCTTTTTTGGCCATGACTAAGAAATGACCAAAAAGGGGGAACCAAAAGGTCAGATCCGGTCGATTCGCGTTGGGCAACTGAGGGTAAAGGATTGTTGGGGGAAGCAGGCACCAAAACCAAGGCCTCTTGGATCTGAACAGAAAAAAGCGAAGCCAAAGAGCAACTAAGCCTTGAGGTTCCACCCACAAATTCTTTGATTGCCTGGCAGGACCTTTGAGTGAAGAGAAAGGCTTCTGCGATTGGAGATTTTGAGTGTTGATTAGAGGGGCAAATGTAGGCAAACAGCCTCTGGGGAGTTTTGCTCGAGGGTTCAGCTCTCCCGGGCATCTCTAGGAAGCTGTTGCGTTCTGCCCAGCCGATTTCTTAGACATGCTCTAGTAACCCAACTCTGCGAGCCCCTGTGAAATAACACAGGCGCCTGAAAAAGCTTCGTGGGCTTCCTGAAAGTGGCACATATGATCTCATGGGTGTCAATCTGAATGGGTCCCGGACCTTTTGGTGGACATCGAAACTCGGTGTGTTTTTTGCCTCTTCTTCTTTTTTTACCAGGCACGTTCGAGGCGGTTCTCCACTAAAGTCCGTAGCCATGTATCATAGGAAGAATACCAAGCATACCGAAAATAACTTGCTGGTGCTCAGGGAATGAGGGAATCAATCTGGGGATTCCCATAAATGAAACCACCGGTTGGATGGTTCATCTCGGGGTCATTGCCTCATTCCCTGCCTATCGCACAGGCGAGATAATTTATCAGCCTTCCTGAAGCCCGCGAAAGGTCTTTGGTTTTGCACCCCGACACACAAACTGTTTGTTCGTGAAACGGCCCAAGGGACCAGGTACCGTTCAAAAGGTCAGGCAAAAGAGCCTCACCCCAAACTGCAGAGGTAGAGTATACAATCCCCAGCAACAAGAAGGTTGATTATGAAACAAAGGCCTTACCCTTGGCTTTCTTTCCACGGCACAAGGAGTCTGGGACCTGTCTGGTTATCAACCTACACTGGAAGGGATGTGACTCAATTTCTCAAATGAAGAGAGGTTGGGATTGCTTCGTGGTGGCGTTCCTTGGGTTTACCCTCCATCGACTATATCTTTGCCCCATTCTGGGGCACAAAGAAAACATAGAGATGCTGCTTCAAATTCGTCTACCCAATGTGCCGATAAATGAACAATGTACATATATACACAAAGACATATATAGTAAAGGCGAACTCAGATCTGGAGCCCACCGTTCAGTTCGCCTCTCGGGGCCCCTGCGTCCCAGAGTCGCTTCGTGCCATCGGCCGTGTCTCCTTGCCTCGCGACTCGCAACTCGCGACGCGCGACTCGCGACCGACGCGCGACCGGACGTCACAGGAGCCACGGTCGAAATTGCATGTTCCCCAAAAAGGAAATTGGAAGCTGAGCCTGGGTTTCTGTGACATTTAGTGACCCCTCCAAAAGGACCATGGACTACTGGGTGCTGTTGACCGAGCCTCACAAGAGTGTGCCATTGACTCGTTCTCTGTGACATGCAATCGGGTGCCTCGCGCACCCCCCTCCCCCCCTCCCCCACGTAGAACAGACTACCGAGAATAGTTTGCTTGCTTGCAGCTTTCACCATATTCATAAACACGCAGCATGCCAACATAAGGTTTTTGTTACAGGGGAAAACTCCGGGTGTCTTAATCTGCCCAGCCGCAAGGGTCCTTGGGCTTGATATGGACCCAGGGTTCACCGCACTTCCGGTCCAAGTGGGCTCTGTAGGGGCCTCTCCAGGCCCATCCGAAGACATCCTCGAGCTGCAACCAAACCCAAGACATCCTCGACACTGAGATTCAGGCAGAATGAGGCACACCTGCCGGAGCTGCATCTCGTGTCCGGAGAAGCCGAGGGGTCACTGGGGTCTCACGTTGGGCTCCAATACTGCACGCGTTTGACAGCGTGTGTTTTTGATTTCAATCCAAAGAACCCAAGATTCTGAATGGGCAAGGTCGCCTGTAGGGTCCCTTTCGATTGTTTTCAGGGTCGGGGGCAGGAATTGGTGCGGCTTCTCTGCAGAGCGCTCAGGACCCTGTGATACAAGGGAGTCCCCTCTTCATATCGGGGGTTAGTCTTTGGGAGGTCCTTTTTGATGTATCACAGAAGTGGAATCCATTTCCCACAGCCCTAGACCTGGGTCCTGGTTTTTGTTTCCCTTTGAACCATCTCAGCCAAGGTTGGTTGCGAACATGTGGACTCTTGGACCTGTCCTATTTATTTCCCTTGAAACATCTCGCCAAACGCTTCGGTGCTTCAAGCCTCCAGTTGCCAACCGTGGACCTGGACAAAGCCTTGCTCCGGCTGTCCGAATCCGACTGAACATCAAGACATGCTGGGTGTCAGAAGGCAGGCCGTCTTGGGCGGCAAAGGAGGCGCAGAGATAGCCAAGGTGATCAAACGCACAAGAAGCCCATAAAGAATACACACCCTTGAAAAGCACCCGACTTCAAAACAAGACAAACAAATCTTTCCCACATAAGCTTCGCAGAAAGAACAAAACCCTGGTTTTTTTCACCCCGAGTGATCAATCACTTTGCCCAGGTCCACGTGAATTCGAGAATTTGCTTCCCCAGCCTCGGAATGCGAGTAGATGGTCTCGAAGAGCAGCGAGTTAAAGATGGGCTGCTCTCGCCGCAAGGCCTCGAGAGGAGAGGCCGAGGCCCCCTCCAGGTTGGTTTTTCCTTCTGGCGTCCATTCAAATCCCAACCCAAAGGGGGTCCACCACTATGACTATGAGGAAATTCCTAACTAACCATGGGAAAACCCAAATCTCGTTTAGTTGGTTTGTGGGTTCCACGTAAAGACTCTGCTGGAAATAAAGGACTTTCTGCGCACGGAACATCTGCAGAAACAAGGGCGTGTTCCCCTGGTTGCTGTTCTCCGGCTTGGCAAAAACGGCGAAACTCCAGGTGCTTGAGTTTGCCCATACCCCAAATCTGGATCCATTAAAGTGACATCCTCAAGTCACCCCCCCCCCAACAAAAAAAGAAGAAGAAGAAGAAAGAAGTGACTTTGAGAACCCCTCAAAGGTTCGTCACGTAGTGGTTCGTTGAGACGCCAGGTGCCGCCATGGGCCAAACTCATCCGAATTCCTCCAAAACAGATAAATTCCCCATCAATCCATAGGGCCATAACGGGAAAACTGTGGGCCAATGGGCCCAAAATGAATACAGTCACTATGGCTGGGCCCCTCACAAAACCGAAAGGACTCGTCACCCACCCGTATGTCAGGCCAACCTGCTCCCAGAAAAGACAAGTACGGCCTCAGTTTTCGTCAAGGGTTGCGCAATTTCGCTGGGTGCCGTTTGTTGGTTTTCCGAACTACAAGAAGTTCAGCCGAGGGGTGGTTCCTGTGTTTGCCTCGAAATGAACATGGTTGGTTTGCCTTCCAAAAGAGGAATCCCCCAAAAATGACAGGCGCGTACACACCCAAAGGAGCCCTCGCCTCAAGAAGCCCTGCCCTCGACTTGCCTGTAAATCTCCGGTGCTTACTTCTGCCGCAGGCGCCCGCCCATAGATCACGTCCTCAGATTCAGGCAGGCGCTTGCCGGAGCATGCCGGAGCGAGCTTGCCAGTTTTAACGGGCAATCGCGATCGAACCCCGTGTAGGAAAAAGAGGCACCCCGTAAACGGGGCTTCTACACTTAGCGGGTCCAGTTTGTGAAAAAGGGTGATCAAAAGGCACATGGGGTGTAACTGTTTAGCGCATTTGGACAGGGGAACAAATTGACGCCCCCCGAACCCTCCTGAGAGGAGAATGGTTCTGAAAACCTTGCCGGTCGAGTAGGGGGGAATCTCATGTTTCTCTGGAGAAGTGGGGATGGGGCTTGCGAGCTGAGGCCACGGCAGAGTTTCTTTCTGGCTCCCAAAGCCCTTCCAGCCCATCCCGCAGGCCTTATCAGTCCCGCGTTTCTCAGTCGCCTTTTGCCACGCAACTTTTAAGTGAAATTGGTAGGTAGATATGTCTCATCGCTTAGTCGAATCAAACAACGCAATGGCGGTCAGCCGGTCAGCCCACAGGACATGGACAACTTGGCGAGTCCCCTGGTGTACTGTGGAGAAATTTGGTGAGTCCGCTAATGTCTCAGAGTTGGGCCAACATGTTGTTAAAATACATACAACAAATCAACAATTGCTTCAACAACCTCCTTTGCGTTTCCCTTTAAAGGGAGCACGGGTCTGGTTGTTTACACACACACATTTTGCCTCAATCCTGCCATAGACTCATTAATGGCTGCGCATTGCTTTGAGAGACTTACTTTGAGGTTGGTGCAAATGGAAATCACCACGAAGACCCATCATTTTGGGGCCCGGCACACATATATTCACATCCCCAGGATGATTTGACAACGGACCTATTCACATGGGTGTTGTTTGCTTTTTGAGGCTCCACCCCTTTTTGGTAGACGTTTCAGCGAGTTCAAAGGGAAGCCGACTGTGTTGCCCCTCCTCTGTGTTTTCTTTTGGGGGGAGGGGGGAGCAAACCCTCCGCCCGTTTTCGGGGCCGTGCCCCCGACTCATCGTGCCGAGCATCCAGGCGCTTGGCCAAGGTGCCGTCAGAGAAGCTGTAGAAGGGCACGGAGAAGGACTCAAGGAGCGTTGGGGTTTAGGGGATTAGGGGATTAGGGGATTAGGGGGTGAGGGGTTTGGGGGGTTAGGGGGTGAGGGGTTTAGGGGGTTAGGGGGTGAGGGGTTTAGGGGTTTAGGGGTTTAGGGGGTTAGGGGGTTAGGGTTTAGGGCTTTACTTGGATGTTCGATTCGCCAAGATAGCGTCTGTGGTCAGCCACTTGGTTTTGTTTTGCACCCCCTGACAAGCTTAATTTTACTGAACGGGGGACTTATAAGTGGGTTATACCCTATACCAACAACGTACTAACAGGGCCGAACACCCAAGTACCCTCAAAACTGAGCTGGCGAAAAAGGGGTATGACAACCCGCATTTCAGGGGATAGCTCACTGACGAGAACAGCACCATTTCCGGCTGCAAGCGACGGTCCAAGCCAAGTGAGTCCTATGGCATTTTGGTACAAATCCGCCATTTGAGGTCAAAAATCCTTTCAGAGACCCACCCAAGGCCCCAAGGCCTAGACGCTAGGAAGACAGCAAGTTGCCCCCTGGACCCCTGGGCTTCCCAGTCAATCTGAGCAAGCCAACTTTGTTAGGGAAACCCAAACGGATACCCCATTTTGTGGGTTCTCTATTTTGAGACGTAATTATCCATATATGGATGGACGAAATCCTCTTAGGCACCACCTAAGAAACTCGGGAATGATACGATTTCCATGCAAATACCAACGAACTGGTTTTCCATGGTTTCTACTTGGTGCGAAATGGATTTCGCAACCATCCACAGTATTACTCCAGAGCCTGGAAGTGGATAAAACCCCTGGCGCACTGCCTTCCGAAAGTAGGCGCCGTAGTCTGGCGGCTCCGCCTGAGCAAGGCATGGCCCAAAGTCCAAACGAAGCCTTGCCCCCCTTTTCCGCACCTGGATCGTCCAAATCATGGAATTTAACGAAAAATCCGGAGACTACCACTTGTTTAAGAATCTCAGTGAAAAAGTACGGAGTTTTCAAGCTCTTGGTTTTGAGGTAAAATTAATAGAAGTTGATTGTCACTCCTAAAAATAGGTTTGCACACCTGAAACCGCTAAAATCGCAATTATTTGGTACTTGAAGGAGCCCTCCAATTCAGACAAATTGCGAATGACATGAAGCTGAATCAAGTACTAAGAAATTATAATTATTCAGAATTTGCCTTCGGTGACACATTGGCCCAACCGGAAAACACCACACCCACAACTCAGCGCAAAAAAACACGCAAAACGCCTGCAAACTCCCGCAAAAACCGGCAACATCAAAAGAGGCGGAGTTTCCGGAGAGTGCATTTTCAGCAAAAGCAGTGCAATACCCACTTGAGCGAACAGAGAGTTGCATATTTGATGGGAGAAACTCATAATTCTTAGAGGGTCTCCTGAACACAACCCGGAGCACGGCAAAACAAAGAAATAACCCGGAGGCAGGGGCTACCCTTGTCCAACCGGTCTTCCCGTTTCAATCCTTTTCTACCCTTGTCCAACCTGTGCTTCCCGCTTCAATCCTTCTCTACCCTTGTCCAACCTGTCTTCCCGTTTCAATCCTTTTCTACCCTTGTCCAACCTGTTCTTCCCGTTTCAATCCTTTTATACCCTTGTCCAACCTGTGCTTCCCGATTCAATCCTTTTCTAGCGTTGTCCAACATGTTTTCCCGTGTCAATCCTTTTCTACCCTTGTCCAACCTGTCTTCCCGCTTCAATCCTTCTCTACCCTTGTGCAACCTGTTTTCACGTTTCAATCCTTTTCTACCCTTGTCCAACCAGTGCTTCCCGTTTCAATCCTTCTCTACCCTTGTCCAACCGGTCTTCCCGTTTCAATCCTTTTCTACCCTTGTCCAACCGGCCTTCCCGCTTCAATCCTTCTCTACCCTTGTCCAACCAGTGCTTCCCATTTCAATTCTTCTCTACCCTTGTCCAACCTGTCCTTTCCGCTTGAATCCTTTTCTACCCTTGTCCAACCTGTGCTTCCCGTTTCAATCCTTTTCTACCCTTGTCCAACCTGTTCTTCCCGTTTCAATCCTTCTCTACCCTTGTCCAACCGGTCTTCCCGATTCAATCCTTTTCTACCCTTGTCCGACCCGTGCTTCCCGTTTCAATCCTTCTCTACCCTTGTCCAACCTGTTTTCCCGTTTCAATCTCCAACCCGTGCTTCCCGATTCAATCCTTCTCTACCCTTGTCCAACCTGTGCTTCCCGCTTCAATCCTTCTCTACCCTTGTCCAACCTGTCTTCCCGTTTCAATCCTTTTCTACCCTTGTCCAACCTGTTCTTCCCGTTCCAATCCTTTTATACCCTTGTCCAACCTGTGCTTCCCGTTTCAATCCTTTTCTAGCGTTGTCCAACCGGTTTTCCCGTGTCAGTCCTTTTCTACCCTTGTCCAACCTGTCTTCCCGCTTCAATCCTTCTCTACCCTTGTGCAACCTGTTTTCCCGTTTCAATCCTTTTCTACCCTTGTCCAACCTGTGCTTCCCGTTTCAATCCTTTTCTACCCTTGTCCAACCTGTCCTTCCCGTTTCAATCCTTTTCTACCCTTGTCCAACCTGTTCTTCCCGTTTCAATCCTTTTCTACCCTTGTCCAACCTGTGCTTCCCGTTTCAATCCTTTTCTACCCTTGTCCAACCTGTTCTTCCCGTTTCAATCCTTTTCGACCCTTGTCCAACCTGTTTTCCCGTTTCAATCCTTTTCCAACCTGTTCTTCCCGTTTCAATCCTTTTCTACCCTTGTCCAACCTGTTGTTTTTTTGTTTGTTTTTTCTACCCTTGTCCAACCTGTTCTTCCCGTTTCAATCCTTTTCTACCCTTGTCCAACCGTTTTTTTTCTTTTAATCCTTTTCCACCCTTGTCCAACCATTCCTTCCCGAGTCAATCCTTTTCTACCCTTTATCCACTCCCCTTTCTCCCTTGACCTGTTTGCGTTGCACGCCTCAGGAACCAAGCGCCAGCGCCACTCCTCCTCGAGCCACCAGAAGTTCAGTCCCGGCCTTGCGCGGGTTGGCGTTTTGGGACCCTACCTTCCCACGAAACAAACGTGGAAGTGCGCGGGCCCTTTGGAACTGACTACTTTCCTTTTGGATTTTGGGGGAAATCGTGCGTTCCATGTTGGTGGGAGGCTGGAAGGATATCCGAAAACCTTTGGTTCTAAAACTCTGAATGAGAGAGATATATTGAAGGCGCATATCTGGAGTAGGCTTTAACATACCTCCAAAAAGGAAAGCAAACAAAGACACTCATGTTGGGGCAGGGTTGGGCTTAGCCAACTTGTTGGAAAACAGAGGTTTGTGGGGAGGTTCCATCCATCCTTGCATGACCACTTGTTTGGTCCAGAAGTCAGCTAAGTGGTCCTCAAAGTACCCAAAAAGAGTTGCCCCGAGTTTAAGCACGAAATTGGAGACGAAAACTGTCCTGAGGGGAGATGGCATTTCGGGCAACGCTGATCAACCCCTTCCACAAAACTGGGCGCTGACAGGGTCTGGGAAAAAACAAAATACCTTACCAGGGGGAAAGACCTAACCCAGGGCCGCTAAGTCCACTTCAGCCGTGTTTTCCTGGGTCTTGGCATCCCCATTTACTCTTGCCTTTGGGAAAAAACAAGTACGTATATGGGTGCGTCACTCTTTAGGAGACCCCCTCAAAAAATATGGCTTTCTCTTTGGTTTCCCTTTAAAACCAACCCAAAACGGGCTTCCTCCAAAAAAAACATCCATAACGACTGTAGACCGGACACTTCGACTCGACCTTTACCGGGGCTGCTCGGGGCATTTCACCGCCTTTCCCTAGACATCCAGTTGATTCTCATTGGAGAAGAGGGCACCTATTCTTGGGTTGACTTTAAAGGGAAAACCGCTCAACATAGCAAGAAAAGCGGGCCCAGGGGAGGTCTGGCAGGCTTTCTCATTTTTCAGTGCAGCTGGGGCGCTGGCAGACTGAGGTCCTGCGCTTCCGCGAGGTGCAAGGTGTGGTTTCAAATCGGGGAACCGACCTTCTAGCGGGGAAACAAATCCTGAAACCGCAGAAGCGCACATGGATAAATAGAAAACACATATCACAACAACAAACACGAGAACGCGAAAACGAACAATAAAAATAGCGAAGAAACAATAACAATAACAGGAACACGAACAAGAACAAGAACAATAACAAGAACAATCACAACTTGGATCGGCTGTTGGCCTAGTAGAGGTTAACATGTGTTAACATGGTAAGGGAGACAGTTGTAAGCAGCTATAAGGAGTTGGCTAGCGCAGTAGTTAAATGGTTAGCTAGGGTTAGCTAATGCAATTTCGAAGAGAAAATCATCAAGCATATTGTTGGCGGCCTACTATGTTCTTCCTCACGCTCGAAGAAAAAAGTGCCCTCGGTTACATGTCAAGTCTCGTAGGCAGAACAAAAATGCACATTCTGGGCTATATGCTCTTGCCAGCTATTGTTTGGGGAATCAGTGCGCGGCATGAGCCCATGCAGGGGGGGCTGAATGCGTTGAAGCAAAACCATGGTGTTATTTCATAGCTAATGCAGAACATGTTTCTCCAAACTATGGCCCTGAGCCCATGGCGGGCTTAATGCTTGGCTTGATGATAACATTGATGTGACAAGGCGCATTGTGTGAAATCAAACACATGTTTCGCACCATGAGCCCCAAGGGCTATGCACGCAAGTCTCAGCAGAGCATGCGCAAAAGCCTTTTTTTTCACCCTTGCCTGCAGAATCTATGTGGTCGAAATTGCCACGGGATCAGGACCTTGAAGCCTTGCTTGCTTCGGCAGTGGCACACAGGAGTCAACAAGACTGAAGTGGGCACAAGCTGCTTGCGCTCCAAACAATCGATTGCAGCTGAGCAAGTTTCTGTGTCATATTTCAATAATTTACATATCGCCACTATTGAACGCACAGAATTGCCAACTTGAAGATGGCAAACTACCTGGGCAACTTCCCAAAGCTCATTGGGTAAGTTGCTTTCCAGCAGCACAAAGTCTTTGGGCTTGCAAGACACACCAGACGCAAGCTTGGCTTCCTGACCCGTGAAAATGCTGCCTTGTGGCCAAGTCTGCCCCAAGCACGAGCAGAAGTAAGCATGCAGCTTTGCTCCTGCAGGCGAAGGTTTCACCAAATAAACGCCTTGCTTAAAAAGGTCACTGTTCTGCAGCGCATACAAGTCATGAGAAAGGCATTCCTCAAGCACAGATCGCTCATATACCTTGAGGTTGGTGGTGGCGGTGGCAAACCTGCTCACCACTTTGTGCTTGCGCTCCATGGCCCAGCACGAGGGCAAGAAGTTCCACTGGCGAAGCTTTGGCGGGGCATGTAATAGCCAATGAAATTTTTTAATCATGTGACTTCTGTAGCCAGCGTCAACGCATGCCTGCAAAGCCGACTCCACAGCTTGGAGCAAAGCATCAGGCGAAACCATACCACTTGGAGTTGCCTGCAGCATCTCCAGGACGGCTGTCATTAGCAGAAAGGCGCGGGAATGCAAGTGGTATTCACCAATGCTGGCAAAGGCAGAGCTCACTAAATACGCCAGCAATGGGCACAGTGCTAAACTTTCTGAAGCACTGCACTTGATTTTTTTCTCTTGCTTGTACGACTTGATCTTTTTGGCGCTGAACAGCTGTTTCAGTTGACCTGCTTTCTGAGTGGCAGCAGGCAGTGACCAGAGGTCAAGGAAGCGAGGCATCATGTCCCAGCAGTCCAAGTGATAGAGTGTCAAGTAAAAAAGAACTTGCATGATGCCTTGTGAGCACATCATGTGCATCCAGTCATGGCAGTACTGGGAGGCTGGCTTGAGCAAGCCAATGCTGAGCAGCTTCTGGTTCAGCAATAAGGCGTGGTCATTGTGCGAAATGCCAACTGCTTGTTGCCATAAAGCAAAGTCTTCGCCCGTCAGTTCAAGTTTTTTCTGCTGACATCTTTGAAAGCTTTGTAGCAGTTCAGTGTCTGACGCAAGCTGCAGGTCTCGAAGCTTCAAGTGCTGAGCAACTTCGCCGTCTCTAGCGTTTCTACATAACATACAATACTTGCTGCCTGAATCACCTTTGATGTTGAAGGTGAATTTCATGGCAGCACCATCTTGCAGCACCATGCCGAAGTCAAAATAAAGCCGGATGTTACGAGCAGCATCGCCTGAAGGATGTTTGAGAAGCAGCCCATTCATGGGATTGCCAAAGCTACTGCAGAACATCTCCTCCAGCACCAAGCTCACAACTTGTCCAATATTTGCTTGCAAGGCATTGACCTTAGAGCTTCTCACCACGCCCATGATCATCCAAGAATCTTCCGAGCTCAAGCGCTGCTTGAACTGAGCGAAGCTGGCGTATATTACCCAGGATTTTCTCTCCTGAGCTAAGGATGGAAACAGGTCGCAGACAGAATGACTGGAATATATTTTCCCACAACTACTAAATACAAGACATGTGAAGTCTGGGTAAGGCTCCTGCCGGTGGGCTAACACATTTCCAGGCGTCACTTCATCTGTATAGATGGTCAAAGACCATGGGCGGCTAAAGGAAGATGGATGCAAGGCGTGCGTGCTTTCAAGCATGCTTGACCAAGCACCTCCTTGGTAGAAGGCCTGCGCTAGCAAGGTTAGGCCATTGGCCAACAAGATTGGCAACGTTTTGTCCTCCAAGGTGATGGCTGACTTTTCAACGAGCATCGGGCCATAGTGATTGTGGCTTCCCAAGTGAAGTCTTGTTGCCTCTGTCATACACTTGCTGTTGCTTAGGTCAGGTATACCACTCTCCTTGCAATCTGCCAAGATGCTCTCCAGCGCAGACTTGGATACATAAGGGCAGCTTCTTCTCAAGTCATTTAGCCTCTGCAATTTCTTAGGCCGTTCACTCGAAGAAGCTGCAGCCATGGCAGAAATGCTACCAGCCCTGCCATGATTGTTGTTCACACAACCACTTCAATTGACAGTTGAGGCAATCCTCGCAAACAGGAAGCTTGGTATTGTTAGCTGTGTCAAACTACAGCCAGAGACTGCAGCCACAGCTTCAAGCAGCACAACAAGGCGCACGTGGAAAGATGCGTGTGGCTATACAACACGTCAAAAGCCCTTGGCAAGAAGCTACAGCGTTTTACAGGATATCGGCATGAGCCTGTCTAGGCTGTCGCGTTATTTTTTAACATTTGGTGTAAGCCATGCGGAGGCTGCTGCATGTGTGAGTGAACGATTGACATGAGCTTGACCAATCATACTTACTTTTTATAGGCAGAAGCCATGAACCAAAAGCGCGAAGAAGTGATGAGCCTGAGTAGCAGACTGGCCAAGCACAAGCAACGGACGTAAAAAAATTGCAGGGGCCGCCAATGGCATGAAGTATTGACATGAGCCTGACCAGGCTGCTGCGTCTAAAATGTGAATAGTTGACACGAGCGTGACAAGGCTGCTGCGTTACAACTGGCGCTAGCTTGCTACGCGCTGCCGCATCCAAATTGCCAAACTGACATGAGCCTTGCCAGGCTGTTGATCTGGATTCGATTTAGTGAGCAAATGGCATGAGCCTGTTTAGGCTGCTGTATGTTATATGAACAACTGACGTGGGCCAGACAATGCTGCTGGCCTTTATGCGCAATCTCTAAAGCCAGAGCCAACAGCCATGCCAAGCTGCTATATAGCTGGCATGACACTTTCATGAGCCTGAACAAGCTAAAGGCAAGCGTGACCAAACGATGTCTTTGACTACTGATTGGCGTATCATTTCTTTTTCCAGTAGTTCGCAACGATGACCGAAGCGCCTGTAGGTTGGTCACGGTGCCACCAGACTCCCAGAGAAGGACCCGCCACAGCTCACTGCCCGCCCAGCATGCCCAGTGGCCAAAGTCATGTCATTGCGCAAAGTCATGGTACCGCTGAGGCGAGACAAGAAAACACTTAGCAGGCAGGCGGTCCTGACCAGGCAAGCAGCTTCAAGAACATAAGACCAACCTACAGGAGCCTTATGGCTGCCCTTCGCGGGCCAATGGCACTGACTATGTTTTTGTCAAGCAAAGACAACAAAAAGATGCAGGAAGCAATCGCGCCAACGTGCTGGATGCCGAAGTGGAATGGCCAATATTTCGCTATGAGCCTTAGTCAGGCTAGTCGCAAGAACAACACACAGTGGAATCTGGAGTCAGGATTTCAACGTGGAACAGACAGGAAGAGACAACCTTCATGAGCCTGCAGCAGGCTGTGAAATAAATGTGGAGCCCCACGAACAAGGATCCGAGGGGGGTGAGCAATCAACTCAGTTGCTGCATGTGAACACACAGAGAGTGCGTGAGACAATCAAGGTGTAAACAATGCAAATCAGAATTCGCCAGTTGGGCTTGAGTGCATGCAGCTGGAGCTGCTTTTCATCCGCGCCCCCCCGAGCAAGCACTGCTTTGCTTCCCCTGTACAAGGATGCACTACACACCTGCAAAGCCAGATCGCTTCCTACTTCTTCTTGTTGGAATTCATCCAGTTCTGCCACGCTTGCCGTCCTGGCAAGCGAATCCCCTGGAAACCGTCACTGAGACACGAGGAGCAGCCATTGGCATTGCCGCGGCATCGGCAGCACCCATACAAGTCACCGGCGTTGGATGTGGCAGGCTTAGACGTGGCCTTTGCTTTGGCCTTGGCCTCGGCCTTAGCCGTGGCCTTGGCCTTAGGAAATGCCTTTGCCTTTTTCTGAGGCTTGCACTTGCCCTTAGCCTTAGCAGGCTGCTTTCTCTTCTGCTTCAGTTGGTTAAAAGCCTCATTCTCAAAGTCATCGATGGACGCCGAGCCTTCAGCAGACATATACTTGTCTGGAGCAGCGTTGTCAGCGCGTGCCGGCGATGCAGTGGATGGCGATGCAGTGGTGGCGGCGGGCTCGCCCGTGGGCAATGTGGACCTATCAGGAGACACAGAGCTGGCGCTGCCTGCAGAAAAGCTTGGGCGCCTCGTGTTTAGAGCATCACCAGGCG